CAAAAGATGCAAAACACTAAGAGCAACCAACCACTGAAGTCACAGATCAACATAACAGCACCACATGCGTACCGAGCAAACAAAATCAGAAACATCTAAAACGCATCAGCAACAAACAAACACCTCCGATTGTGCTTCCGACACAACTAGAATTAGCGTCCCGGAAGTACATCACTATATGCCACATTAACGACACCGTACGCCACATAACGCACGCGTAGCTGGAGGGCAAACAAACACGCATTCAACATGTTTCTCGAATCTCGTACACTGACGATCAACACATCGACAGAGTATAGCGAATCAGAAAGTTTCCATCTATGCTCCGAAAATAACACACACGACGACAACAACACCGCCATGTGTAGGATCAGAGCACACAGTCAATGCAAACTGTGTTCACAACACACACACACACAAGCACAAGACAAACGCACCCGCGTCAGAAAAACCGTAACACAACACAGATAACAATGCACCACACACGCATACCATGATCACAAACCAGTCGAATTCAAACTTGTTCGAATTAGACAACAAACCATTAAGGGGAAAACACAACCTTAAGCAAACTGCCAATACCCACTCTCCTCACAACACCAACAACCTTAGTCAATAACACAAACCAACGGCAAATCACACACAACACAACAAGACAACTGCAACACACCACTTCACAATGCGAACGCGGACTGCAACAATATCACACAACCGCTTCAACAACACGCTGCAATCAAGCTTCATCACTCGGAAACCCATCGAACCCACAACCAATCTCAAGCCAACAAGGTGCCCAGGTAACCACAACCAATCACCATGTCAGCCGATCCGGCGCGGACAACCTCCATCGTAGCATCAAGTAAACAGAGAAACACGCCACACAAACAAAAGATGCAAAACACTAAGAGCAACCAACCACTGAAGTCACAGATCAACATAACAGCACCCCATGCGTACCGAGCAAACAAAATCATAAACATCTAAAACGCATCAGCAACAAACAAACACCTCCGATTGTGCTTCCGACACAACTAGAATTAGCGTCCCGGAAGTACATCACTATATGCCACATTAACGACACCGTACGCCACATAACGCACGCGTAGCTGGAGGGCAAACAAACACGCATTCAACATGTTTCTCGAATCTCGTACACTGACGATCAACACATCGACAGAGTATAGCGAATCAGAAAGTTTCCATTTATGCTCCGAAAATAACACACACGACGACAACAACACCGCCATGTGTAGGATCAGAGCACACAGTCAATGCAAACTGTGTTCACAACACACACACACACACAAGCACATGACAAACGCACCCGCGTCAGAAAAACCGTAACACAACACAGATAACAATGCACCACACACGCATACCATGATCACAAACCAGTCGAATACAAACTTGTTCGAATTAGACAACAAACCATTAAGGGGAAAACGCAACCTTAAGCAAACTGCCAATACCCACTCTCCTCACAACACCAACAACCTTAGTCAATAACACAAACCAACGGCAAATCACACACAACACAACAAGACAACTGCAACACACCACTTCACAATGCGAACGCGGACTGCAACAATATCACACAACCGCTTCAACAACACGCTGCAACCAAGCTTCATCACTCGGAAACCCATCGAACCCACAACCAATCTCAAGCCAACAAGGTGCCCAGGTAACCACAACCAATCATCATGTCAGCCGATCCGGCGCGGACAACCTCCATCGTAGCATCAAGTAAACAGAGAAACACGCCACACAAACAAAAGATGCAAAACACTAAGAGCAACCAACCACTGAAGTCACAGATCAACATAACAGCACCCCATGCGTACCGAGCAAACAAAATCATAAACATCTAAAACGCATCAGCAACAAACAAACACCTCCGATTGTGCTTCCGACACAACTAGAATTAGCGTCCCGGAAGTACATCACTATATGCCACATTAACGACACCGTACGCCACATAACGCACGCGTAGCTGGAGGGCAAACAAACACGCATTCAACATGTTTCTCGAATCTCGTACACTGACGATCAACACATCGACAGAGTATAGCGAATCAGAAAGTTTCCATTTATGCTCCGAAAATAACACACACGACGACAACAACACCGCCATGTGTAGGATCAGAGCACACAGTCAATGCAAACTGTGTTCACAACAACACACACACACACAAACACAAGCACATGACGAACGCACCCGCGTCAGAAAAAACCGA